TCCCAAGCAGCTAGGACTACAGGCACCTGCCACAACACCTGGTTATTTTTTTTGATTATAGTTGTCATTTTTGCCTGGCAGGCCTGGGCCGGATTCAAACCCACCAGCTCCGGCGCATGTGGCTGACACCCTAGCCACTTGAGCTACAGGGGCTGAGCTGGTCTGAATATTTTTAGTTCTCTTAAACAGACATGGTGACTGGTGACTGGTCTCCTAATTCAGCCTCCTCCTCCTGCCCCACTCCCACCTGCCAGTCTGCCCTCCAGCCAGTAAGACCTGCATGCTGTTGCTGGGACACACCAGGCATGCTCCCAGTGTGCTATGTTCCTGCTTGTCACTTGGCACAGACTATTCTTCACCAGATAGTCACTGCAAGCCTTCCAACCTCCTGCAAGCCTTTGTTCAAATATCATTTTCTCAATGAGGCCTACCTTGAACAGCCTATTTAAAATTACAAGCCTCCCCCTCCGCCTGCACATCTTCTTTCCACATCACTTATCAACTCCTAATGTAAGGGGTAACTCTCTTATTTGTCCTTTAATGTCTGGTGTCTGTCTCTCCCAGGAGAATATGAGCTCTAGGAGGGCACAGATTTGGTCTGCTTTGTTCTTTGCACTAAAGAACTGTGCCTGGGGGCAGCACCTGTGGCTCAAAGGAGTAGGGCCCCAGCCCGGCCCTATATACTGGAGGTGGCGAGTTCAAACCCAGCCCCGGGCAAAAACTGAAAAAAAAAATAAAAAATAACTGTGCCTGGTGTGTCATAGAGGACTAATAATTGTTGAACAAATGAATTAATAAACAATTTGTGAAATACCCATATGGAATGATTCATGTCTTGGTCTTGGCAGCCTGGAAGCAAATTTGACATTGTCCCTCTGAGTTTGGTAACCTCAGGCAAGTAATTTAACTCAGTGGGCCTCTCTGGGCCTTCGATTTCTCATCTGTAAAGTAAGGATAAGAATATATATATATATATATACACATACACACACACACACATATATATATATATTTTTTTTTTTTTGCAGTTTTTTGGCTGGGGCTGGGTTGAACCTGCCACCTCCAGCAATATGGGGCCAGCGACTAACTCCTTTGAGCCACAGGCGCCGCCCAAGGATAAGAATATTTTATGAGGGGTGCATGGTGGCTCATGCCTGTAATCCTAGCACTCTGGGAGGCCAAGGTGGGTGGATTGCCTGAGCTGACAGGTTCAAGACCAGCCTGGGCAAGAGTGAGACTCCATCTCTAAAAATAGCTGGGTATTGTGGCAGGTGCCTATAGTCCCAGCACTTGGGAGTCCGAGGCAAGAGAATCACTTGAGCCCAGGAGTTTCAGGTTGCTGTGAGCTATGATGCCAAAGCACTCTATGGAGGGCAACAAAGTGAAATTCTGTCTTAAAAAAGAAAAAAGAAAAGAAAAGAATATTTTATGAGGTAATTAACCTATATATCCAACAATAGATAGATAGACAAAGCAAATAGAGAGAGATATATATAATAGAGTATCAACAACATGGATAAATCTGGGAGGACATTATGCTAAGTGAAATAAGCTAGGCACAGAAAGACAAATACTGCATGATCTTATTTTTATGTGGAATCTAAAAAAATCAAACTCATAGAAACAGAAAGTAAAAGAGTGGCTACCTGAGGGTGGGGGGGTGGGGCAAATGAGGAGATGTTCAAAAGATAAAAACTTTCACTTTTAAGAGGTAGAAGATCTGGAGAATTAACGTACAGCGTGGTGGTGACTGAGTACATTGTACATTGTACATTGCACTTGAGCTTTGCTAAGAGAGTAAATCTTCTGAAGGATTCTCACCCCAAACACACAAATGGCAATAACGTGAAGTGATGGATATGCTAATTAGCTTGACTGTGGTAATGTAAAAATGTAGACTTTTTTTTTTTTTGAGACATAGCCTCAAGCTATCACCCTGGGTAGAGGGCTATGGCATCACAGCTCACAGCAACGTCCAACTCCTGGGCTTAGGTGATTCTCTCGCTTCAGCCACAAGAGTAGCTGGGACTACAGGTGCCTGCCACAAAGCCTGGCTATTTTTTGTTGCAGTTTGGCTGGGGCCATGTTTGAAACTGACACCCTCAGTATATAGGGCGCTCCCTACCCTCTGAGCCACAGGCTTCAGGCATGAACCTTTTCCAAAAAAAAAAAAGGATTACAGGAGTGAGCCACCGTGGTCGGCCTCCATCTTTATTTTCTTTACTGCTAAACCTCCACAGTGGTTAGCATAGTCCCTGACATTCAGTAGGTGCTCAATAAATATTATGGAGTCAGTGTGAATTGGGTTATTCCTAATACATGTGGACTCACCATCAACACATACTTTTGGTGCATCCTACCCTGAGTGCCAGAAGGTGAAGATCTAGCAGTGACTGTGGTCCCAGCTTTTTTTTTTTTGAGACAGAGCCTCAAGCTGTCCCCCTGGGTAGAGTGCTGTGGCATCACAGCTCACAGTAACCTCCAACTCCTGGGCTCAAGCGAGTCTCCTGCCTCAGCCTCCCAAGTAGCTGGGACCACAGGCGCCCGCCACAACGCCTGGCTATTTTTTGGTTGCAGTCATCATTGTTGTTTGGTGGGCCCAGGCTGGATTCGAACCGGCCACCTTAGGTGTATGTGGCTGGCGCCTTAGCTGCTTGAGCCACAGGCGCCAAGCAGGTCCCAGCTTTTAAGCCATTTCCTGTTTGTCCCTGGGATAAAGGCAAAAGACATCATGGCCTATAAGGTGCTACATGGGTGGCCCTACTGACCTGCTCGAGGGCTCTCTCTCTTTTCCCTTGCTCACTCTGCTGCAGCCACACTGGCTTCTGGTCTGTTCCTTTTTTTTTTTTTTTTTTTTTTGGCCGGAGCTGGGTTTGAACCTGCCACCTCCGGCATATGGGACTGGCACCTTACTCCTTTGAGCCACAGGCGCTGCCCTGTTCCTTATCTTTTTTATTTTTTGAGACAGAGTCTCATTTTCGCCCTCGGTAGAGTGCCATGGCTTTGTAGCCCACAGCAACCTCAAATTCCTGGGCTCAAGTGATCCTCTTTTGTCTCAGTCTCCTGAGTAGCTGGGACTACCATAATGCCTGGCTATTTTTAGAGACGGGTCTCACTCTTGCTCTGGCTGGTTTCAAATCTGTGAGTTTAGGCAATCTATCTGCCTGGGCCTACCAGAGTACTGGGATTACTCAACTGGATTACTTGGTGGCGTGAGCCACGGCACCCAACTGGTCTGGTTTTTTTTTTTTTTTTTTGCAGTTTTTGGCCAGGGCTCGGTTTGAACCCACTACCTCTGGCATATGGGGCCAGCATCCTACTCCTTTGAGCCACAGACGCTGCCTGACTGGTCTGTTTCTTGATCAAGCCCTGCTCCCAGAAGACATGCCCCTCTCCCCTTACATCCAGATGCCACCACTTTTAGCCCTTGACTTTGAGTCAGCTATGCCCTCTTTCTGAGCCTCTGGTGCCTCCTCTGTAACACGAGAATGTCCCTTTATTGTGCAGGTTCTCTGTAAGCCTGCAAGCTCCCTGAGGGTTGGCATCATGCCAGATACCCATCACAGGGCCCAGCCTGGACCAGGAGCTCACTAAGTATCTATGTAGTGAATCAACAAGCAGTCTGGGGACCCACCAGGCTGTGTGACACTTCTCTTGATGGCTTCCTATGTGCTCAAACCACAGCAACTCACTCATCATGGTCAAAAGGAATCTTTTTTTTTTTTTTTTTTTTTGAGACAGAGCCTCAAGCTGTCCCCCTGGGTAGAGTGCCGTTGCATCACAGCTCACAGCAACCTCCAACTCCTGGGCTCAAGCGAGTCTCCTGCCTCCGCCTCCCAAGTAGCTGGGACCACAGGCGCCCGCCACAACGCCCGGCTATTTTTTGGTTGCAGCCATCATTGTTATTTGGCGGTCCGGGCTGGGGATTCGAACCCGCCACCTTAGGTGTACGTGGCTGGCGCCTTAGCCGGTTGAGCTATAGGCGCTGAGCCGGTCAAAAGGAATCTTGAAGAAAGGGTCCTGGATTTTCCAAAAGGTCTGGTGCAACACCTGCAGGTCTGAGGGGAGGCTGGACTCACCTGATGGAAGGGTCACAGGGCCATGCCAGCCCACTGTCTTGTCACAGCTGGGGAGCTGAGATCCAGAGAATGGGATATGATTTACCTGAAGTCTCCCAACTACTCAATGCTAGAGCCGGGTTCAGAATTTCAGGGTCCTCACTCCTAGTCCACAGCTCTGTCCATCCCACAAGGGTTGAACAGCACAGTCAGGCATTGTTAACTGTACAAAGTTCAGTGCAGCTGCACAAAATCTTACCTTTAAGTAAATGCTGAGGATGGGTTTTGTCCTGCATACTGGGTAAGGTCAGCTTTGGAGAGCACCTTTGACAAGGAAGATTTTGAGTAGTGATTCCTGCCACACTCATCCCTTACAGAACATTCTAGGACTTCCTCTTCTGCACAGACCCTAGGTTACACACTTGATAGATACTGTCTCTTATCTTTACAAGTGACTATTATTCCCATTTTGCAGATGGGGAAGCTCAAGTGGTGTAGTGACTCACTCCAGGTCAAGGTTGGTAGAACCAGCATTCTGACTGAGGATTACAGACCTCAAAGCACTTAACCCAGGGAAACAGGATAGCACAGAATCTGGAATCCCAAGACTAGAGTGAGCAGCCATGCCACGTTTTGGAATAAAATCTGTTCCCCTCTCCCATCAGGGTTTACTATCACCAGGACCTTCCCTCCCCCTGGTGATCAGACCCAGAGTCCAACCCAGTTAGTCCAGGGGGCCCCATTCTGGGGGAAGTGGAAGAGGGGCCTCCCTCACTGCTTAGACACTGTGCTCAGCCCTCTGCAGTGCACAAGCTCAGTTGCAAGCTGGTTTTTTTAGGGGGGGCTACTGTTTCTTTCTGTCAGCCAGCCCTAAGCTCAGCTTGGATCTTAGATGGTAGTTTGGGTCCCTACAGCTGCAGCTGCTTCTTGAGACCCCTCCCTCCTGGTTCCAAGACCCTTGCTTAGTTGAAGGCAAGGTTGAGTTTGGTTTAGAGCCCCAGCCTGTGGAGCAGTCTGAGCCAGCACTCCCCCGGCCTGTGGTGGGGGAGAACAGGGGATCACTACTCAAAATCTTCTTTGTCCATGTAGGGAGCTCTACACTCTGTTTTCTTTTGTTGTTGTTTTTGAGACAGGGTCTCACTCTGTCACCCTGGCTATAGTGTAGTGGCATCATCATAGCTCACTGTATTCTCCAACTGCTGGGTTCAGGCAATCCTACTGCCTCAGCCTTCCAAGTAGCTGGGAGTATAGGAGGCCACCACAACATCCAGCTAATTTTTCTATTTTTAGTAGAGACAGGGTCTTGCTTTTGCTCAGGCTGGTCTTGAACTTGTGACCTCAAGTGATTTTCCTGCCTCAGCCTCCCAAAAGTGCTGGGATGACAGGCCTGCACTGTGCTCTCTTGGCCCTGATTGCCCACCATGGCTTGGACGCCCACCCTGGCTGCCCAAGACCATGAAGGTCCCTGCTCACCATGTTTCATGTTGTCCATCCATTCGCCCACATAGTGGTCACCGTTGACAGCATACACCTGGTGCCTAAGTCCATTCTTCTGGGCTTTCTGGTCCCACTTCTTCCACAGGTGCTCCGACTTTTGGGGGCACTTAGAGATTGGCATGTGGCTGCTTCTGCAGGGCCAAAGGGCTGGCAAGTGGTTAGGGACATCAGGGGCTCAGTATACACTGCCCAGAATCTTGAGCTTAAGGGGAGTGAGTCATGTGTGTTCTGAGACCTCAGGGCAGGTGAGCATCCCTGGGTAGGGGTCCTTTTATAGCTGGACTGACCCTTGGCTGTCCCCTCCCTTACCTCTCCTGGGGCCCTTCTTAGGGATTATGATGGCACAATCACTTGGAAGCCCAGGGAGACCAATAGAGCAGGAGTGTTTATGATGGCAGCAGGGAGAAGCTGCCCTTAGGGAGGAGGTATTTAATAACCAGTATGACCAATGAAGTGGGTGCTGGCCCTGAGGCTGGAACAGCCTCTGAAGGAGAGGGGAAGGGCAGGGCAGTAGAGAGCACTAGGGTCCAGTTCAGGGGAACAAGGGGGTGTCCAGGCCATATTTGTCTGTCCAACATTGTTTACTGCATAGCATGCAGGGATGTCCCCAGCTCAGCACATTAGTCCTGCCTTATCTGTCTGGTGGATGGGACAGTAGCAAAGCCCAGGGGCTGGCTTTGCAGGGGGGAATGCAAGTTGTTGGGAAAGCCCATCAGTAAAACATACTGCATCTGGCTCGGCGCCTGTGGCTCAATCGGCTAAGGCGCCAGCCACATACACCTAAGGTGGCGGGTTCGAATCCCCAGCCCGGGCCCGCCAAACAACAATGATGGCTGCAACCAAAAAATGGCCA